TCCAAAAACACCCTTCAGCAGGGTTAGGAAAAGCATAGGGACATCTTAATATCAATATCGGGGTCATAGTTAACACCAAATAGCAAGGAGTATTGGATGCATTAAACATTATGTCAGGTAGCATTGAACAGATAATCAATATATGAAAACTTCACACATATGTGAGAATATGAATAATAAAACATACCATTTCAGTTCATTAATTGGGTAAAAACCAGTAATTTATTAACCCAATTGATCAACTGAAATGGCAGGGAATGAGGGATTTCTTTGTCTGACACTAATTGCATCCTAATAAATCATAGGAGTATCACATTGGCTACTCTGTCTATATCTATCTATCTATCTATCTATCTATCTATCTATCTATCTATCTATCTATCTATCTATCTATCTATCATGATTAGATATCATTAGTTTATATTTGGGTAGTAGTTGAATGGGGTGGACAAGAATTATTCTGGCACAAGGGCGCTATGTCCAGTACTGTGGTTTTGCTATGAGCTCTTGTGTTAGAATGGTAAACACTGCTGGTTTGAAATGGTTTTTGCTGTCAGTTTTTGTGACACATGTAATATACACCATATCAGTCTTATCCTGTGGTTTATATTATCTACAGGTGTTTTATTTTTGTTCTTACCAAGTATTCTGCCTGTTCATGCACACAGACCTTCTTCCTCACTGCAAAAGAACAGAGCAAATAAAGAAAACATATATTTAGATGCAGTATATATCAATAGTAAGTCCAGGGTTGCTGCACTCCATCTTCTTTGTTCAAAGTAATCACAATGTGCATAAAATCAGTATCAGTGCTCCATTACAATGCACGTATTCAGATTGGACGTCCTTTCTCAGGGTAGGAATACGCACAAACAAGATTACAGAGCTTAAAGTGGAGTTCCATCCAAAAGTGAAAGCTCCACTTGTTTGCCTCCACTGCCATTTTTTTGGGGGAGTTGGGAGCAGATACCTGGTTTTGACAGGTACCCACTCCCACTTCTGGATCAGTTCACCATGCAAAAGTGAGCAGGAAGTTCGGCCCCCCTCCTTCCTCCTGTAGTCTTCTGAGACACTTCACAGGTCCCAGAAGACTGCCAGACAAATCAGGATGCTCAGCACACCTCACGCATGCGCAGAGGGCACCCGGCTGTGAAGCCGCAAGCTGTTATCATTACCATCTATCTACCATCGGCAACTGAGACGGTTCTCTTCTAAGATTAGTGAGTGAATATCCCCTAGTATTCAATTTACCGGTACTCTCCATTTCACCTAACATTTGATCTATTAGGTCTTCGTCTGTAACAACTTTCTTAACCAGCAAAAATTTATTGTGTGGTATTGATTTAAACACACCCGACAGGTGAAAAAAACTAGTAAAGTGAAGCAATTTATTATGGTCAGATGGTTTAGTATACGAATCACTTATCCATTTCTCTCCCTTTTCTGATATCCATGTATCGAGAAAAGGAATAGAAACTTTATCACGTCATGTGAATTTAGAAATTCAAAACCAAACTATTTAGATATTTAGCAAATACATGTAAGGACTAGCTGTCACCACCCCATACTGCAGAAATATTGCCAATAAAGTGATATCAATATAAGCAATAATCTAGAAATTAAACATTAGGGAATATATAAGAAATCTCAGTCATATTCATAAACAAAATTAACATATGAAGGGCAAACATGTGAACCCATCGAGGCACCTCGTACCTGAAAAATGTTAATCCTTAAAGAGAAAATTATTATTTTTCAAAATCAACCTCAATAAATCCATAAGGAACTCAATCTCGGCACAACTATACAAGTTAGATGCCACAAGAAGCCATTGACATAAAACTATACCCAAATCATGTGGGATATTAGTATGAAAACTAGATACATATGTCTCAAATGACTAGCTTGCAATATTTTTCATATGTAACACCCTGCTAATATTCAGACTGCAGGATGCTAAAGGAGACACAAGGTGGTAGTGTCCTGCAACTCAGTGGCACATACTATGGTGAAAAGCTTTATGGATGTTGTAAGCTGAATCGCAGAACTTTGTTGGAGGGCAGTGAATTAGGGGACTAGATTTCCCAGGGGAGGTAACATGTGGGTAGAGGCATATAAATATACAAGCACAGGAACAGGGGCAGGAAGAGAGCTGGGAGAGATCTGGAAGGAAGGTGTGAGGAGAAAGTTGTGCAGAATACCGGGGGACAGGACCAGGTTGAAGTGAAAGAGCGGAATAAGTGGGAGGAATAGCCGACCACTGACATCGCCAAAGGATCTGGAGAGCTAAGCAGTCGGCCAGTGATCCAGAGTGCTACAGTCACTAACGAACTCTGAAGGAGGAACCGCCAGGCTGCTGGGGGCCCCCATCTACAGCAAGAATATCAGTGACTGGGACGATGCCACAGATCATGTGAGAGAGTCCATATTTCCAGCCAATTAAGTTATAACTGACATTCTCTTGCATCAACAATTCTCTATCTAGTTACTGACATTGTTCACAAGTTACATACAGTATGATGAGGCCTAGTTCACCCGGCCTACTAGTAAACACATCTCCAGCATAATCCAGTCATCAGAGCCTGCTTCAGTGTCCGCCCTCTGCAGGCCAAGCACTGATCACTGTATTAGGCTACGTTCACACTAGCGTTGTGTGCAGGTGGTAGAAAGGCATTTGGGAAGCGTTTTTACCGCTTCCCAAACGCCTCGGTCAATTCTGCACATTGCACCACATGGTGCTGTTCTAACAGGAGCGTTAGCGTCGCATCGCAGCAAAACGGACGCCTCTGGTTGAGTCAGGAGGCAATGAAGCCTACTATTCTAGTCTATAGTGCCGCTCCGCAAACGCTCGGCCGGCGTTTGCGGTGCGGTTGCGACGCGGTTGTGGGGCGTTCGCGCAGCGGTAACACCATTCAAACTTCATTATAGGCGTTTGTAGGGTGTTTTTAACACTCGGAAAATGCCTAGCAACCGCCGCTGAACCTTGCATGCGGAGTTTGTGGAGCGTTTGCCAAGCGTTGAAAGACGCTCTGCAAACGCCGGACCAACGCTTGCCAAGCGCTATAGGGGCGTTTGGCAAGAGTTGGTAAAACAGTCAAGTGTGAACGAGCCCTTAGTATCACTGGTTCCCACAAAGTGTCAGTGAGTGTAAAAATGTCCACCGCAACATCGCAGTCCTGCTATAAGTTGATGATCAGAAAGGACATAAGGACAAGGCTGAAAAGGACATAAATTTAATTTGTGTGCAGCATTGCATGACTGCGCAATTGTCAGTTAAAGTAATGCAGAGTCGTAACGCAAAAAATGGCCTGGTCAGGAAGGGGGGTAAATCTTCAGTGACTTACTAAGAGAGATAAGTTTTATTATATGCATGCCTATAATTTTGTGCTTCTTTACTGTGCTCATACTCAACTCTAATAAAAACACAGTGTCTGTTCACTCTAACTTGTGTGAGTCTATTTTCTGGTAATTTTGAGAGAGTTTACTCTGGCCAGAAGCATATGGTGGTGTCAGCAGGGTTTGGGATTTCGGAGTGGGGTCAAAAGTGACAGGGATGCTGTAAAACAAAATCAGCTGTATTCTGTATATATAATGTACCCTGTAGGAGAAAAATTCCTATTTAGATATCTCTGCTACAGGAGCACATGCTGATTTCATGACAGCCACTATGGGGTTTATTTACTAAAGCTGGAGAGTCCAAAATCAGACTCCCTTCTGCATAGAAACCAATCAGCTTCTAACCTCAGCTTGTTCAATGAAGCTTTGGCAATGAAACCTGGAAGCTGATTGGTTTCTATGCAGAAGTGAGTCTGATTTTGCACTCTCCAGCTTTAGTAAATAAACCCCTATGTGTCTCCCAGTCGGATGTATAGAATCCTTATATATTTTAGGAAGGATCTAAAAAAAAATCAGTTTAACAGGATATTTCAGAATAAAATATGTATTAGTTTCATTATCAATAATATCATGATTTAAAACCTTAGTTATATGCTTTAAAATGTTTTGTACCATAACAATGGGGCTAATCTGTACAGGAGAATACACAATATTATCAGATAATTGTCTAATAACTTCCTTCACATAATCAAACATATTTATCACAATAATAGAAAATAGAACCTCCCTTATCTGCTGGTTTGATAATAATATCTCACCAAGCAGATAGACAGTGTAAAGCTAGTATTTGTTCTCTAGTACAATTCCTAGGTAAAGTATGTGTCCATTCTTAGCCCTGCCTGCAACAAACAAGGAGACATCCGCCTCCACCTTTCTTATAAACAAATCAACTGCAAGATGTCAGTGGTAACACATAGCTTTTACTTTGTATACCAAATGATCGTCTAGACAAGGAAGATACAGAAACTGTTGATGATAAAGGGTGTCCAAGAAATAATTATTTAAGACAATTTTTTATAAAGTTGATATAATCCTGTTTAGGAATAAAGTGTTCATCCTTGCTTTAGGACAAAAATCCAATCCTTTATTCAAAACAGATAGTTCAATCTTACAGCTGAAATATTGTGTACAATATGCACGTCCGACATGATGTCTGTAACCTGGTTTTTCCCCGGGGTCACTGTGCCAGTTGTTTCTATGTCCCCAGTGCTTGCAGCCTCTCCTACATTGTCTACTCTCGGGGCACAGACTCCCAGTAAAAAACAAGAAGCAGTGGAACCCATCAGTGATGAATCAAAAGACACCATAAAGGAAGCTGTAGATTTATCTCTAATATCCTGACAGTTACTTCTGGAGAGAATCAATTGGAGAATCAGTTGTCATCTCTGTTGTGAAAAAATCGGATTCAGCCATTCCTAAACCCTATTAGTTTTATAATCCTCCTTGTCTCTCTGCAGTAATATCTGCTTCCTATTTTCAACATTCTTTTTATACATATTCAGTTTACAACATAAGTTGCACTTGAACTTACCACAAGTATATACAGTACAGCAGTGTCCCTCTGGTATGTCCCCAGTAGCTTCATAGCCAAGGTCACAGATAGGAGGATTGGTTGAGCATTTGTTGGGATCACATTCTGTTAATGAAAACAAAATAGTTCATAGAGAAATGGCCCAAGTTCCCTTTCCATGGATTTTCAGATTGTTTATTTATTGATTGTCAGCCTTTAGTAGGGCCTCAACTAATAAAAATGGAGTCAATAAAACTTATATGTGTTCTTCTAATTGTGTATATCGACTTTTCTCTTAGCTTTTACAAAGTAAGACTGTACAGTGATAACAGCTATCAATGGAAGTCTATTTTGTAATGGTACTCTGTCATGTTCAATATGATTTGCTTAGACTCAGAAGGTAAATGGTCTATGTATGCTTTAGACACAGCTCTACAGCTATGAACAGAATGACTACATAAATCATTTATGTCTCTACAATTTCTGCATGTCAACAAGCTATGTGTGATCAGTCCTTACAAGCAGTCCTTACAAGGAGCAAAAAGATAAATTATAAACTCACTTATTTTTTTAATTCTTTTTACAGTATTTAAACTACCAGTAAAGGGGAGCAGGCATTTACATTTGTATCTATTAAGAAAGTGTAGTTAAATGGAAGCTCATTACATTTTTAATACAGCTTCTAAATTACAGTCACCACCTTGTCCTAATCCAGAGACCTGCATTGTCAAAGATGTGATTTGTAAAAACTACGGGCAGCCTACCTCCCTTCTCCCTATGCCAAGTACTGGACCCTTGGCTGTCAGTAGGACAATCCTCACCACACAGGGATGGTGAAGAGGTGACCAAGCTGTCACAAGAACTGCAGAATTTAGACAGCTGGATGACGGAGTGCAATTTTAATTCTACAGTTTTCTCTCACAAATCCACATTTTATTTTTCTTTGGACTTTTGTATTAAATGTCACTATTACACATGGATGTATACTGTATATAAAATGAAAAAAAATGCACACACACTGTATATTCAAATGAGAAGCTGCTAATCTGCCTAAATATACATATCAAAAGCCAACTTTAAGGTGTAACTCCACTTTCATGGTGAAAACAATTAGCAAATAAAAAAACCTAATATAGCATATCCAATTGTAATTGAATGTTATTAGAAATTATCTTTCCTTTCATTTTGCAGAGCTGTAATCTTCTGTAAAATGCAATGCAATATGGCTACCTGGATGCATTCTGTACTCAGACAGTGTACAGAACTCCCCCAGAAATGTTATTTCCTGCTTGTGTGATTGGCTTACTGATTTTCCCAGAAGTCTGCACTGAGATACAAGACCCTGCATTTTCCTCATTGGATCCCTGAAGGTGCAGCAGCTAACTAATAATTATGAGACCACTCCCGTACAGATTCACTTTAGACATGGGCACAGACAAACAAAGAGCTAAATTTTAAGAATAACAAAAGGTAGAAACCTGCAACAAAGTTTGTTAAAATCCTTGCAATATACATTGATTACTCAGAGGGGAATGTTTTTTTTTTTGTCAGCAAAAGTGGAGTTACTCTTTAATCATGGCATTTGGAAAGTAGCTAGTTTGTATACTTGAATCTGACTGTGAACAGTTATGTTTTTCTGCCCACACCCTATATAACATTGAGCTGGATTACAGTGCATCCAACATAGCAAAGCACCAAAGGTTTGCAATGTATCTTAGCAGATGAGCCTCTTTCCGGCCTTCAACATACTTAGTATAGATACGCTGGGGAGGAGGTATGGGCATATATAGTAACAAAAGATACTAATTATTTTAATGTTTTCTGGCAGATTAAAATAAAAGGCAATTTTATCTGCAGAAAATTGTTGCAGTTTTCTCAAGTTTATAATGTTGCGTTATCATGTTTCCATTTTACATAGAAAAACAATGCAAAGTGTTATTGCTTTGCTTACCATTCTACCTGGCTTTCAATTCTGTCCCAGTGGAGAGTGTGTAGGTGGAAGTATGGCAATCAACTATCCCCTCTGGAGTGGTATGCCATGTATTGAATGCAGCATTTGAACATTTCAATGTGACATTAGGCACCATAGATGTATAGTTGTGTACTAAGCCAAATAACTGACTACACCCTTTCATATGTAGTCTTAGGTAAGGAGACCAAATCACATACTAGAACTTGGAATTGTGTACCAAGCAAACCTTTTTAGTGCCTGTGTGAACATCACCTTATAGTAACAACAAAACAAGATGTACACAACACTTACTGCACACAGATGCATTGCAGCAGGGGTCCAAAGGATTGATCTGAGTATCAGCATAGAAACCTTCCAGATCACACTTGATGGGTTTCACCTTGGAACACTGGCGTTTCTGGCAAATGATGCCACTGCCACCTTCTCTGCAAACACATTTCTGGCAGTCAGACTGGAACTCTTCTCCAAACTGTGCAGGAAAACTCTTGTTAGTAATTTAGATTCCACTAGAGATTCTAGGGTACCGTTATGTGGTGGCAAAAAGGCAAGGAACAATAACCTATTTTAGAGTAGTTGTACACAAATTCAATGACATTATGAGCTTCAATCAAGCTGTACTTCCCAAGTTTTTTTTCTTCATACAGCAATCAAATTGAGATATGAGCACAAAAGTAATTAGCCCTCTACAGCATATTGTCTCCAGATTAGGTAGAATGATGCAGCGATAAGAATTGTCAATCTTAAATTCCTACACACCCATGAATACAGCACTAAATCAACTTAAAACTCTTTAGCCTAATTGGTAGCACTAGTATTTTGTATGCAGAGATAATACACTTCTATTTTTTTGTAATTAAAATGCAAAAAAAACCTAAAACAGAACAGAACCAGAAAAGCTAATTTGAAGATTAATTAATTTCCATTTAAATAGGATGAATACCCAATTGTAGCAGAACAGACTAGGGTCTTGGTCGCCAGTCACTCAGGCTTGAAAACAGATCAATGATTTAGATAGAAAATGTGATTTGGAAAGGCATTAAAACTGTCTTATTAGACAGAAATACTTTGGGAAGCAGGAGAATGATACAAGCAGCTTTGGCACTATGCTATACAAGCAATGTAAGCTTTAGTGTTAATATCAGAAAAGCACAAGAGAAAAAAATTTGATCCATACTAGGACATACCTTCCGTGGTATCCTGTCAGGTCCAACGCATCCTGAAAGAAAGACTCTGTTAGATTCATAACCATTCCTTCAGTTTCTGTCAAATTGATCATCAGGTAATAAATGAAGGCCAGGGAAGAAAGATTTTCTAATGATTACTTCATTAAAAATGAAGTATTATTTATTTGAGGGAACCATAAGTTCCGCCTCTGCCCATTGTCCTATACCCTCTGTGACTACTCCAATTTGTTCATGTAGGGTATCACACTTACTGTTCTTTGACTTGAGGTGCTTACTATTCCTTCTTATTGTAATGTTTTATAATATTGTAACCAAATACAGAGAATGCTTAGGTAGGTGGGGTACTATTTAGCAGCCAATGATAATTTACAAGTTAAAGTGATGAAATTGAAGTGCACATCTGATTGGTTGTCATAAGTGAAACTTCCACTCTTACATGTACCTTTTTATGTGTGAATAACAAAGGATAGTGCTTTTGCTGATTGGAAGCAACTCAGCTAAGCTTTGCTATGCTCCAAACAGGCAGCAGATACAATAGTTATGTGACCTAATTAATGCTATACAAAAATACTACTGAGCTAAAGGCTGTCTGAAAGATGGAACACTTACTCAAATAATCATTCACATTTTACATAATCCAGTGTTGCTGTCATAGCATCCCTGGATGGGCCTGCAGCTTCTTGACAGTTATTCTGCCTTGTGCAGACTATCCCTAAGAACTACAAATCTACAGCAACAACGGATCACGTATATGAATTGTGTCTCTCTGAATAATAGGAGCATGCTAAATAAAATATCTGTAGGGTCTATCATTGGTGAGGGAGGGCAAGCAAGGCAAAGCAACCGCCTCTCTTCATCGACCCTACTGCTTATACTCAGCTTTGCTCTCCCACTCCTATGTTAATTCACCCGAGCTAACACAAATATCTGGCACTTTTGTAAATGAAGGAGCATATGACTCAATCCCCTTCCTACCATAATGCATCATTGGTTGCCTCAAAAACTAATTGCAAAGCCTGAGAGTTGTCATGGGGCAGGGATCCTTAACTCTGTATATGCTCCTACAAGTACAATTTGGGGTTTAAAGAGAGTTTCATCACATTAATCTGGTGGACATACAGTGGGGTAGTGAAGAGAAGGTGAATATTAGAAGAATGGGTGGGGGGATAATACTCAAACTGTAACTATGGGCAATATGAAATATGACAGTAGTCTGTCAACTACATAATGAAGTCTGTCATTATTTAGCACAGCAGTTTTTGTTTTTATGAGTACTCCATTGCAACATAGTTAGTTTTATTACCTGTTGATCATGCCAGTAGATCCATTACTTCTTTTTTTTTAACAGGGCAACAACATTGTTCCTTCTGCAATGAAACTACACTGCACTGTTGTCACCCTGTGGATAAGGTAGTCTTGGATATTCATAATATTATAGAAGATTTGTGGCATATAAGAGAATATTTCCCCCTTATTTTGTATATCTCAACATTGCTGTGCATTTAGATGCCCTTTGACAGACCATGACTACTTACCACATGTAGATACACAAACATCCAGTGCAGGGCTGAATGGCATTGTACCCCCAGGGCAGAAACATCCTTCAGTCACACGTTTATCATCCTTCATTAATGATTGTTCTTCTGGACTGGAAGATAACATGTATTAGGATTAAATTAATAGTTCTGTGCAGTGGCCCACTGCATCACAGTTTAGAGCATTAAGGTGCCATTTAAAATAAACACAGTATGTGCATACATATACATACATGTACATGTATGACTGTGTTTATCTAAATAACAATGTTTTTATATAAAAAGAAAAAGACCATTTTATTTGTCAGTAGTGCTATAGTGTCATGTACATATAGAAAACCTGGACTGCAACTAAATGGACAGCATAGCTCATAAACCCAACCCAAATACCTTGCTTTCCATAGCTTTGCAAATACTGGAAGAACAATCTTTAGATGGTGATTGTTTTCACCCTTCCATGTTTGCTAAGTACATCGATAAGGCATTGTTTTTAACATAGTGGTGACATTGGATTCTCACATGGTTTGAACCCAAGATCTGTTCAATTCTTTTCTTTCTACAGCTGTGTTTTAGTATCTGCACAGCAGGATTGTCGTACCAACACAAGTGATGTGCGATCTTTCCTGCTGTTATGACAATGGGGGAAGACTCTCCTGCACCCCCCTCCCCACAATTCACAGATTAGGTGAACCAGCCAATTGTTGGCCAGTGTGTAACCAGCTTTACATTATGTCACCACCTGGTACTCCATTGTATACATTTTTCTGATCTCCCAGAAACTTCCTGGTTATTTATACCTTCACTATCCCTGCAGAAGGCCCCTGTATATTCTCTGCTTCTGTCAAAATAAGGTGTTTTTACCTTGGTCTCCTTGATCTCAGCTTTTTCTCTAGTTCCCCAGGGCCCTGCAATCTAGATAGTTTTTATATTAATTTGTGTCTCCTGTCTAACTATGAGTTTTATTTGGTCAGCATTGTTTATTGTCTTGCACCTCTATTCTCTGTACTGCCACCTAGCTCATTACTATCCCCTGCTTTCCATGTAGCTCACCCTGTATGATATCTCTTGAGTATCACTTGTGTCCTCATCATCAGTGTTTACTGTACTTTCTTTCCCCTGGATATGCCCTTGTCTCTTGTCTGTAGTAGCTGCCAGCAAGGCAATCACAACAGGAGCAGAACGGAAGTTGTCTGCACTGCAAAAACTGCTCAGAAAGACCAGACTCTTTCAGTCCTTTGCAGTTCAGTGGGCATCATCCATCACTGGCTGGCAACACTGACCATTTTTGTTCGTCTGTTTCATGTGTACTTCAGTTCCAGAGCTATTTGCAGTGATTAAATTATATCTGACCTAGAACCTGATTTAACATGTATTTTCCTCTGTCACGTTAGCCCCAGTCTACCACCCTCCAAATCTGTTAGCCGCACTCATCATTGTTGTAATTTAATGCAGTGTTCCAAGCTCATCATCCTTGTACAATGATCATAAGTTGACTAGGCATTCAGTACATATACACTTACATGGTCTGGCAAGTTCTCAGTACAGCTGAACCACATGCGTTGTAGACTTGGTGAGAAGGACACTCCATGGCTAAATGATAAGCAATAACATATTTAAGTTGTCTGTGTTGTCAAATGTATTAATGCTGGGACAGTACTGAACTGTTGCTTGCGTTCTTAACTGAGTAAACAGTTTGCATTTTGATTTGACTATCTCTTCCAATAGTTAGGGAGTACCACAGTGTTTATCTGATTTATGCACCCCCTACTATTTTGATATTTCTACATTTCCTACACTGTGTTAACTATATGCTATTATATTCCATCCATAACATGCTGCAATTTAATCTTTGTCTATAATCTTGTGACATAGTAAGGAAGTTAAATACCTTTTTATCTACTAAGTGAAGCATCTGCATCTACCTTATCTTTTTGGCACACAATTTTATTCAACATTTTAAGTCCACATCTGAGTATAACAAGTTACACAAATAAAGCATTCAAAAAGAAACTTACAACATTCAGAAGCTTGGCTTCTCCAGTCAATACAAATTCCCTGATCTCCACAGAGCAGAGCATAGTGCTGCAAACTGGTGCATGGCATGTTGGAACTGGCACCATGGCAGCTATCAAAAACACAGGCTTGGTAGTAATCATTTGGTGGGATTGTGTTATGGCATTTCTGAAAAATTCTTTTAAGGGAGAAGGAACACAAGAAAAAAGACAATTACATTCTCATTGACCAGTAAAACATTTTCTATAACTATGCAAGGGAAATGTAACTCTTCTTTTTTGTCTGCCTGTAGACATGCAATATCTAAAGATAAATACTATATTATTGCACTATAATTTTGGCCTCTCAGAAATTTAATTTGAAAACAAGTCCAGCATTATTCATAGAGCTTGGCTCCCTATCAGATAAATAACTGAGAGGAAATATTGAAACAGCAATACTTATTAGTAATCAATTTTCTAATGAGTATGAAGGGGGGGAGCGACTCTTGTGCTAGGCTCCATTCATAAAGCTAAATAGTTTCAACTACTCCTTGAGCAGAGGCTGAATAATAAAAAAACAAATCTCATCACTGTGTGTCCCTTGGGTAGATTATCCCTTTTAATTTGTCAAGGAGACCACTGTCACCAAGACAGAAAATTATATCTAAAATGTTCATATGGCATCTGTAGATTATGTGCACTTTGCACTATGACACATAAAGGTCTATAACAATTTGGTGAGATAACTCATTTTAACTATATTAAGTAATATATTTAGAGGAAAAAACAGCCATTTGTTCTGACACATCTACAAAGAGAATTGCAGATTGTAAATGCTTACGGTCCCATTATGAGTTCACACAATGGTGATGGTGGGCAGACAACAGACGGTTTCGTGGTTGGAGTGGGTTGTGTAGGCTTATGTTGATCACATGTGGGCTTATTTGGGTCATGCACAATCCAGGTATCAGCCATAGCTGCACAGCTTGAAACAACCTCTCCACTGCTTGTTCTGCAATCATCTGTTTGGTCATTACTGCAAGTACCTGCATATGAACAAAATAACATAAATGAAAACTGGGAACGGGAATTATGCATACATAACCGTATCTGTAAGCCCATCCTTTATTTTACATTTTCTGTAGTTATGTGTATTCTATCATCCAGTTCCCATATAAGGTATACAAGACTACAAAAGCATGCAATAAAGTAATAGTTAATCAATAATCAAAAAATCAAAAACTAAATTAATAGGCTTCCTTAACTCAATGTACGTTAACAAATGTGTGGTAACGCAATTCACCAGACAAGTCCGAACGGGCCCTAAAGTAATCCTTTGGTTACCCTAATATAAGTAAATAAGTATACTTCTTCTTGGGTGCATTAGCAGGAACATTTCTTCACTAAAACCCAGGGCACCTAATTATGAAAATACTCTGCTGCTGCTTCTTTTGGTCAGTAAGAGTGTCTATCCCATTTAGTGAATTTTGTGAAGAGAAAGAAAAACATGGGCATTCAGAGCTTTGCTCAGTGTCTGCACAATTGAGAAAAGGAAAACATACTGTAATTTCAGGCATCGCTAAAGTTAGTCCCACAAAAATATGTGATGACCATGATTAGCTAATCTTTAGGTCTGGTACCCACACTGATTGACTACTGACCTTGTCTTGACGACACACGCCTATTAACTGCAGCCTGGTCCCAAAGCTAAGCACTCACACAGAAGACAAATTATAAGTGAAAAAGGGTTTCTTAGTGATCACCATGACTGAGGAATCATGGTGGTCACATGATCAAGAACCTCACATAGTGCTTCTCTGTCCTATTTCCATGAACTTAGGTTGGTAGCAGCCCAGTTGATGAGCTAAGAACTCTCCATGAAATGCTCAGCAGGCAGACTAAGAAGCATGACAATGCTCTCTCAGCAAGGGGAACCTGCCAGGAGCATGATAAGCAGGTTGAGAATACCAAGATCACATGCAATCTCTGTTGTATTTAAATGTCATTATCAAAATTTGAAATCAACAACAAATACATTTTTTTTCTTTTGCATAACTTTCATTGCACCTAACAAAAAGTGAAAAGGACAAGTGCACGTAAAAATATATCCAACTAATTCTCAAAATCTAAAAATGCCCCCATGTTTTAATTTTCTTTTACATTTTTCTCTGTAATCATTATATGACCTTAAAACACCATAAAAATCACTGATTGAATAATCAGGACACAAAGCTTACCACACTGTCCCTGTGTGTTTTTCCCAAAAACATTAGATGGTATTTTGACAGAGAAATCCTCCCCATTGAAAGTAACATTAGCCTTCAACTCAGGAATTTCCACAATATGATAAATGCCAACTTTATAAACTTTTACTCCATATTTCTTATAGGGCACACCAACGACTTCACCATTTACAACAACCTGCAAAAAAAAGAGTCAGACATTTTTAAATTTTTAATACTATAGATTAAATATCCCCTGTGTTTTTGTACAAAGAGGGAAGGGAGGTGTGCATATTATATGGCCAAAATTATATGAACACTCTACCTAAAGTGCACAGGTAATATTACAGCATATAAGGACATTTTAGACAAATGTACATTTTTAAACATCTGTCTACAGTTTGGGAGATGCTCTTATCGTCCTTGTTGGATATTTAAACTGTGCAATACATGTAAAAGGGAGTAGGGTTTATTTTTATGGGTTTTGTGTTTATTTTAATGATTTAAAAACTTTATTGGGACTGTCTACACTAAGAAACAGCCAGGCAGCTATTGTTTAGTGTTCAATATATATAATACATTATGCAAAAATGTATGCACGCACATCATCACCCCGTTTACTCCACATCTAGCCTAAGTTTGGGAGCAACACACAGTATATTTGTACATGATCTTACTTGGACATCGGTATGAGGCAAGCTCTTCTTTTTCATTTGGATTTCCTGAGTTTCGTATCGGATGATAACATTACGACTACAGGAGACACGATCTTTTGATCCACAGTCAAAGTTATCAACATAAATACCAAAATTATCTGTCTTCTTTTCTATCTCCTCCACCAAAGCATATGTACAGTTGCCTTGAAA